AGCAACAGGGGTGAGCTCCAACGTCCGGGTCCTCAGCACCAGTAGCAGCTCCAACACCAGGGTCCACAGCTCCAGACGCAGCTCCAACGTCCGGGTCCTCAGCACCAGCAGCAGCTCCAAAGCCAGGGTCCACAGCTCCAGCCGCAGCTCCAACGCCAGGGTCCACAGCTCCAGCCGCAGCTCCAACGCCCGCGTCCTCAGCACCAGCAGCTGCCGGGTCCCTGAGACGAGGCGCGCCACTCCGAAGTGTGCAGCGGCGCTCGTACCACTCACGGATCCGCTCACGAGAGGGGAGCTCCCGACTAGGAGGAGAAGTACCAGCACCAGTCCCAGTAGTGCGCCTGGTCCCAAAGGTACCTCTCCGGAGGTTGCAGTACTGTAAGTACCACTCATGCAACTGCTCCGAGGAGAGGTCTCGGCCAGGCGAAGTACCCTCAGGACTAGCACCGCCAGAGTCAGAACCCCCAGAACCAGCACCCCCAGGCTCAGCACCCCCAGGCACCGCACCCCCAGGCTCAGCACCCCCAGGCTCAGCACCCCAAGGCACCGCACCCCCAGGCTCAGCACCCCCAGGCTCAGTACCCCCAGTCTCCGCACCCCTAGGCTCAGCACCCCCAGCAGGACGAGAGTCGACAGCAACCTCAACAGGCTCGACCGGGTCTACCTGAGACACACCTGAGGGAGCGGCACCCTGAGGGGGGAGGGGGTCTACAACAGCAGCACCTGGCGCAAGGAAGAGAGGCGGGGGGGGGAGCGGGGCAGTGCGGTAGGGAAAGAGGCGGTAGTAGGGGACAGACTCGTCAAAAGTGACGTCCTGAGAGGGCAAGACCCGGCGCGAGGTGGCGTGGTAAAACTGCCAACCAGGCGCGTCCGGAACAAAGCCGAGGAAGACGCAGGGAACAGCACGAGAGGAGAGCTTGTCCGCAGACGAATCGCGGACAAAAGCTCGAGATCCCCAGACCCGGAAACGCGACGCATCGCCAACCTCCCCCGTCCACAGCAGTGTGGGCGAGGTCTCCGGCAAGGAGACATGGGGCCAGAGGTTGAGCTGATGCGCAGCGTACCAGACCGCAAACGGCCACAGAAAGTGGGGGGCATCCACATGGATCAGGGAGGCATGAGCGACCTCCATGACCAGGCCAATGCGGCGCTCCGCAACCCCATTCTGCTGTGGAGAGGCCGGGAGCGTGAACGACTGCTCAACGCCGTGCTCAGCACAGTAGGCTGCCAAGAGGTCGGAGGAGAACTCACCACCTCTGTCAGAGTGCAAGCGCAGGACAGGAAAGTCCGAGCGGAAACGCTCGCTGAGCTGGAGACGAGCTCTGCGGATCCAAGGGATCAAAACATCAGGGACCTCACCCTTGCTGCGCAAGGGGAAGACCGTGGTGTAGCGCGAGTAGTCGTCAACAACGATCAGGAAGTACCTCTCCTGACCCTGACCACGGACGCGGGCTGGGCCCCACACGTCCTTGTGGAGCGTCTGCAAAGGAGCAGTCGTCGGGGGAAACGAGGAGGAGTGAGGAGCGGCGCGCTGCCGCCCCTCGACACAGGGAAGACAGGGAGGAGCAGGCGAGGGTGGAAGGGGAGGTAGGACCCTGGGAAGACCAGAGACAAGGTACCGGGAGTGCATGGCCCGAAGGCGCTGCACAGACGGGTGGCCTAGTCGGTGGTGCCAGAGGACAGTCTCGTGCGCTAGAGAGCGACACGAGCAGGGGGCGGACAGCTGACCTGACGCGGACGCAGACGCAGACGCAGCGACCTGAGGGGGGGCAGTAGTCAGTGTGTACAGGTCCGACCCCGGCTGCCGGGTGAAGGTAGCCAAGTGGCGGCCTGTACGGGCACACGTGCAGTGTGTGACACGCTCGTAGGCAGGGGTGAAGTGGTGAACACCCGCTTCTTGGAGTGCACAACCTCCCACCAAGTTCGTAGAGAACGAGGGGAGGTGGAGACCTGACAGTGTGCCCGACGGGACCGCAGGACAGGGAAGGACACTGGAGGAGGTCGCAAGGACCGGACCCCTAGAGGGGTCAGCGAGGGAGACAGCTACTGGCCGAGCAAGGGGCTCAAGGGCAGTGCGGTCACGAAAGAAACAGCGAGAGGCACCTGAATCCAGCGTGAAGGTGTGCAGTGCTGCAGTCGACACAGTACTAGGGGGGGCAGACGTACAAGCACCTAGAGCAGCAGCCTCACGAGCACCTGGGGTAGCAGACACGCGAGTACCTGGAGCAGCAGACGCACTAGTCCTAATGCCCGGGTCGGGCGGGACACTCAGGTACTAAGCACCCTCTCCACTAGTAGACATCACATACATGGCAGAGAGAATAGCATCAAAGTCTAGAGCATAGATATCAATCCCCTTCTTCGGGAGATCAATCCAGCGGGGCAGCTCAGTGGCCTGAGGGAACTGGACACGCCAAGCGTCGTTCAAACGAGCAAAACAACGCTGTGTGGCGTGCGGTCCCCCACACGGCTGGCCAGTGCGGTCACCAGTGCGAATGACGTACGTGCAGCTAAGGCCACCCCCCCCCCCCCCCCCCCGTGCTGAGAGTACCACTCACGGACCTCCTGGGGCGACGGAGTGTGCTGCTGGCCCTGGCCACCGCCAGTGCCTCCACGACCACCACCGCCGCTACCACCTCCTCGACCACCCCAACCCCGGCCGCTGCCACGTCCACCGCCACCCCCACCACCTCCTCCGCCCCGGCCACCTCCCCCGCCGCTGCCGCCACCCCCCCCACTGCTGCCACCTCCCCCACCCGCGCCACCCCCCCCGCCACCACCACCTCCCCCACCACTGCCACCCCCGCTGTCACCACCACCGCCCTTGCCCCCCTTGCCCTTGCCGCTGCGGCGCCCACTCGAAGTAGACGCAGTCCCGACCTTCTCAGCACCAAGGAGGTCGACAGCAGCAGCAGAGGCGACAGAGGGAAGAAGGGGGGAGGGAGAACACCCCTCAAAGAACGGGGTACGAGGGTCACCGCGAGAGGCACCTACAGCGACTATGCTAGCCTCAGCTGCAAGGAGTTCCTTCTCGAGGAGGGCAATGGTGAGCTCGGTGGGGCAGCGAGCTAGGAAGTGGTCCCTGACTGAGCGCAGAGTGTCAGGGAGGCGCGTGACTAGGTGGTAGAGAGTGAGCCAGAGCGGGGGTGGGTTCTTGGCAAGGAACTCATCAGGCATAGCGGCACGGAAGCGAGCCTCACTAGTGCGGAGGTGGGTAATGAGATCAGCGACAGTGTGGAAGGAAGCTAAGTCGGGGAACAGGTAGGGAAGAGAGAGACGGCCTAGAGCGGCAGAGGCCGGTGAGAAGTAGCGGGCAACAACAGCAGTGTACAGTGCCTGTGCAGTCTTGTGCTGCCCAAAGTGCTCGCGCTCATCTATCGGCAGAGAGTTGCGAATAGCGAAGCGAGCATGGGCGTCACGAGTCTGCCACTGTGAGTGGGCAGTGCTGTCAGCAGTAGCAGCAGGAGCAGTAGCGTGGCCTAAGGCGTGATCGTACAGCGAGATGTCTTCCTTGGCAGTGAGCTGTAGGAAGAGGTGTAGGTTATCAAGCCAGGTGTCGAACTTCACTGGGCGGCCCTCAGCATCGAAGGCTAGCATTGGAGGGCTAGCCATAGTAGCAGTAGTAGGAAAAACAGTAGGAGCAGTAGGGTAGGTAGGGCAGCGCGGCTCGGTACAGGTAGGGCAGCGCGGCTCGGTATAGGTAGGGTGGCGCGGCTCGGGTCGGGCGGCGCGGCTCGGTTCGGGCGGCTCGGGTCGGGCGGCGCGGCTCGGTTCGGGCGGCTCGGGTCGGGCGGCGCGGCTCGGTTCGGGCGGCTCGGTTCGGGCGGCTCGGGTCGGTTAGGGCTGGTGGCTCGGGTCGGGCGGCTCGGTTCCGTTAGGGTTGGGTGGCTCGGGTCTGCTCGGTTCGGGCTGCTCGGTTCGGGGCCGCTAAGGGCGAGCACGGGGAGCGGGTGGGGCTGTGAGGGACGAGCGCGGGGCCGTCGTGGGCGCTAAGGGCGAGCGCGGGGCCTAGTGGGGCCGTGAGGGACGAGCGTGGGGCCGATCGAGGCCAATCGGGGTCGCAAGGGACTAGCGCGGGGCCGACGGGGCCGTAAGGGACGAGCGCGGGGTCGACGGGGCCGTAAGGGACGAGCGCGGGGCCGACGGGGCCGTAAGGGACGAGCGCGGGGCCGATCAGGGGCCTCTAAGGGCTAGCGCGGGGCCGATCGGGGCCGTGAGGGACTAGCGCGGGGCTGACGGGGCTGTAAGGGACGAGCGCGGGGCCGATCAGGGGCCTCTAAGGGCTAGCGCGAGGCCGATCGGGGCCGTGAGGGACTAGCGCGGGGCCGATCGGGGCCGGAAGGGACGAGCGCGGGGCCGACACGGGGCCGCTAAGGACGAGCGCGGGGCCGACACGGGCCTCTAGGGGCTAGCGCGCGGGGCCGACGGGGCCTCTAGGGGCGTGAAGGCCGAGGCGCCCTAGGGCGTAGGTAGGTAGGTAGGTGGTGGGCCCTAAAAAATTCGGTCCTATGAAGGACCTGCTCTGATACCATGTTGAACAAGAATGAATGAACTAACAGTGAAATGAGTACAAGTATGAAAACCTAGAAATGTGTACCCCCTATAGGCTAACCCACTGTAGCCTAAACAACTACAACAACATATATAATGTTTGACACTCCCATCTGCATGCGTGCAATCAACTCGGAGGCGCGGGATTTGGGTCGTCTCCATCGCTGTAGCGTCTGACCAAACACTTCAAGAATCGCCAGGCGTCATTTGAAGCTCGCAGGCGTGGCTTCGGAGATCGCAGCCATTCGTTTGAAGACCGTTGGCGACCACGCTGTGGGACGATAAACGGTACATGAGAGCGAAGGCTGTTGGGGAATTCCTGTAAGCATCTAGGATAGGAACGCCTAGAGAGTCTCGCCGCTTTGCCTGTCCGCGTCATGTGTGAAATAGCCCTCCCGCTAACGCGTGTACCCTTCCTCTCCCGCTGTCCTCCTCGTTCTTCCCGCTGCATGCTTGTGATCAAATCGGAGGCGCGGGATCGGAGGCTGCAGTGTCGGACGAATCGGCTGACGTCGTTTCAAGGATTTCCTGACGTCGTTTCGAGAATCCGATTCTGCGAGTCGCCTGTCGTCGTTGGGAGCCAGGCGTTCGCTTCGACATCGCAGGACAAGACCAAAGGTACGTGAGAGCGAAGGCCGTAGGGGGGGGTTTCTGTAAGCGTCTAGGATAGGAACGCCCACTAACGCATGTACCCTACCTCTTCCCCTGTCCGCTCGTTCTCCCCTCTCCATGCTCGCGGTGGCTGTCGTGACGGAGCAACCTGGCTGGAGCAGAGCAGAACGCCTCAAGTAAAGGCGTGGCTCGCAGGAGTGGCAGAGCAGCGGACAGAGTATGGTACGCGCCAGGGGGTGCTTGCAGGGGGGAGGGAAGTGAGTCGTAGAGCGTCGCCGCGCAGAGGCAAGAGTCGTGTCTCTTGCTTTTACCTCAGCCACTCGCCTCGTGCCGTTTCTAACCCTCCCTGGGTGCCGCTTCTGTGTGCGTGTCTCTCTCCCCATGCGTGTGTGCGCCTCATGGCCTACAAGCACGGGCAGCCGGACCAACGGAGCACAAGCTGCTTTCTCTTCCAACACAGGAGGTAACTGGGGGTGACGATGCCGCTTGGCAGTATGGCCGCAGCGCGAATGCACCAAGCGTTGCTTCTTATCTCAATCTCAGTCTTCCATCTGCCATCTCTCCTTGCTCACGCCCCTTGTCCTCTTCCTTGCCCTCCTACCTCTCCAGCACTCCGGCCATACTGCCTCCCCACAATCCAGCACTCAAGGGGGCAGTGCCTGAAGCGACTCAGGGGTCACCAGTGCTTGCAACAGCGGCTGTATGATCGTAAGCACACAAGGAGTCGTGAGCCGATCAGCTAGTAAACTATTTTTCCATCAAACGTGTTTTCTCTTGTGCGATTCTCTTTTGTCTACCTGTTTCCCACAGTGCCTTGTGCTGTCTCTTGTGCAATTCTCCTGCGTCTGGAGCTGCAGATTCTCCTGCGTCTGGAGCTGCAGATTCTCCTGCGTCTGGAGCTACAGATTCTCCTGCGCCTGGAGCTGTAGATTCTCCTGCGCGCCTGGAGCTGCAGATTCTCCTGCGCCTGGAGCTGCAGATTCTCCTGCGCGCCTGGAGCTGCAGATTCTCCTGCGCCTGGAGCTGCAGATTCTCCTGCGCGCCTGGAGCTGCAGATTCTCCTGCGCCAGGAGCTGCAGATTCTCCTGCGCCTGGAGCTGCAGATTCTCCTGCGCGCCTGCCTCACAATCCTCCTCCATGCACGGAGCCACCGTGCCTGCAGCCCAAGGGGGCCGCCCATGACTCGTGTGCCACCTGGTTCCTCCATGCCTAGGGGGTTGTGCAGCAGCAGCTGTCGCATGCTTTGCGCTTCGACTGTCAGTGGCAAAAGCCTTGATCATGTGTACGAGGCATGCTTGCCTTGAGGGAGGGCTGGTCGTCGGCGGGACATGGCGGAACTGGAAACTAGGGTGGTTGGGTGCATGGTGGCAATGCAATGTGTGAAGAACACGGCTACTACCTACCAAAGCGGTCTATACACGCCGAAGCAGCGGGTAGCATTCGGTGGTTGTGAGCTGAGCGACATATTTATTCTGTGAGCCATATGCAGGCTGTGTTGGTTCACAGTGCCATGAGCTAAGTGTGATTGCACGGAGCAGTCTTTTTATTGTTGCTTGAGGATCGAAGCGGTGCAGTGCAGTGCTGCTTGAGATATCATTGTACTTGCATTCCACCAATGTCATGGCATCCTGGTCCTGGCATGAATTTTGGCTTCTTGAGTTGTTGCGAGCATGTCAAGCTGCATGCAAAGAAACACTACCTTCACCCAAAGTAAGTTAATGACACGGCAGCAAAATTTCTTGTAGTTGGGGATTTTCCCCATCCGTGTACTCGTAGAGAGGAAATTGATGACCTAATGCGCAAACGGGGATGTGAATAGAACCCAGAACCACGCTCATTATCTGAATGGTACTCCCACCCAGAAATTGCACGAGTAGCACGTTTGGCTTCCCACATACCAGTAGCGACCACCTATCCACCGCACCGCCCATCCTTACGCCGCCATTCCCTCTACTCGAATCGCGCGGAGCGTTCCCAAATTGCTCGCCGTCTGTCGCGCGGTTGCTTCGCCTGTGCGCACCTCCGTCGCGGCGTCCTCGAGCCCCTTCCCCCCCGCGCCATGGCGCCATCGCCGGACGTGAAAGTGCCGGGCGATCGTCTAGGGCTCGCGTCGGAGCTCGCAGTGGGTCCCGGCACTTACGCGCGCGGCCCATTCGTGTACGCCAGCACAACGGGCGCCATGGCCGTCACGCCCGGCGAACCAGTGAGTGTCCACTTGGCATCGCCTCATCGCCTCATCGCCTCATCTGCCTCATCTGCCTCATCGCCTCATCGCCTCATCGCCTCATCTGCCTCATCTGCCTCATCTGCCTCATCGCCTCATCGCCTCATCTGCCTCATCTGCCCTGCGTTCTTCCCCGACGCCTGCTCCCGCTCTAGCCGCTTTCCGCCTCCAATTCCCCCCCACCTCATCCCGGTTCCCCTTCCCTCGTGATATGCTTCTCCCCAACCATCCTCCCCCACTTCCAGCAACCCCTCCCCCCTCTTCCGCCCCATCCCCCAGCTTCCGACAGTGTCAGTGCGGCGCGCGGGAGCGCAAACTGCCATCCCCAGCGTTGGCGCAACAGTCATTGCGAAGGTGGGCGGGGGAGAGGGGGGATCCAGAGGGGAATGGGGGATGGGGGATGGGAAGAGTGTTGCTGCTAGCGCATGAGGTGCTGACGAGGAGGAAAGATGAGAGGGATGTTGACCATGTGGTGTGGAGGGCGGTTACAGGAGTGGGCAATTGGTCCCCTCGCCACACGCACTGATCCTCCCACATGGGACCCTTTTTGTTCTCCTCCGTCTTACCTCCTCCCTCATTCCCCCCTCGCCCTCCCCTCGCACAGCCACACACACCCTCTCTCTCCCTCTCTCACTCACACATCCCCACACGTCCTTCCTCCTCCCCCTCTTCCACCTCCTCCGTTCCCTCCCTCCGTTGGTTCTGGCTCCTCTGCTGTATCCCGCTCCCATCGACTCCCCTGCACCCCCATCCCTCCCCCTCCCCCTTTGGCGGAGAGCAGGTGGCAAGGGTGACGCCGCGAGCGGCTATGGCGGACATAGTGTGCGTGGGCGCGCATGCCGTCACTGACAAGTTCTCAGGCATCGTCAGGTGGGTGGGCGCTCTCTTGCTCAGGTGTCCGTTACATCATCAAGGCTATACTCTCTCTCAAGCCTGGTGTGTGCTTTGGAATGTGCACCTGGCGAGTGGGTGGTGCGGGTGGCAGGCAGCAGGACGTGAGAGCAACGGAGATAGACAAGGTGGATCTGCTGGCATCGTATCGCCCCGGTGACCTCATTCGAGCTCAAGTGGTGCGCCCTCCCTCCCTCATCCCCCTCACACACATTCTTCCATTCTCTCTCTCCCCTGTCCTCGTCCTTGTCGTCTCTTTCTGCTGCTCTAACCTGCCTGCTTGCCCCTTTCCTCCCTCGTCCCACGTCAGCTTTCACTGGGAGATTCTCGGGCGTATTTCCTATCCACAGCCAAGAATGACCTGGGAGTCATACTGGCCAAGGGGGTCGCAGGTTAGTGCTCCACTGCTTGTGTCAGCATTTAATCCCTTGTGCATGCATCCTCCTTTCTCTTCCAGTATTTTCTTGTGTCATGCTTTCACCCATTGACAAAAAGAATTGTATCTTCCCAACCATGTTGAACTGTGTAAACCACAGGTGTACCCATGGTGCCCATAAGCTGGCAAGAGATGCGATGCCCCATCACTGATCAAGTGGAGAATAGGAAAGTTGCTAAGGTCACATGAATAAACCTGAACATAATCCAATTTGTTTCTTATTATGCTGTTTCTATGAAGTTGGAAGTGTATTGGTAGTGTACATTGAAGGCTTAAAAAATTATCCATTACCTCTTGTAAGGAAAATTCCTTTTCCTTACTTCGCGTCCCCGCTCAGCGCGTACACCACTGCAGCACCACAGTCAGCACCGTTACCACTCGCAACCCTCGCATCGATAATCCTCCCGCCACCTTCGACGTCGCACCCCGACCTCACGGCTCGGAGGGTAACCCGTGCTCCGGGCCTCCGCTTCGACATTTCCCCAAACCTCAGTCCCAGGCCCGTCGCGCGACAGCCACAGTTCATTACCGTTACCACTGTAGTTTCGCTATATATTCTTCGCTCACACCTTCGCTCATTGTACTCTTGTTTCGATAGTGCAATTCTCGCTCGCTCACTCAATTGCACTCGTAACACTTGGTACCTAAGAGATCGTATTCAGAGCCTACGATCTCTTCTCGGACCGCACCCACACCTTCGCTTCCTCACTATCTCAATTTTTTGGGGGGGGTAGATGTCTCTCAGCGACACAACACCGCCGCTCGTAGTGCTCTCTCGTAAGCACGCACGGCCACGACAGAGGCTCTCGCTGAGCTTGCCCGACACCCCCGCCATGGCCGAATTCAAGCTCGCGACATTGACGCAGGAGCAACTTGACCGTCTGGTGCGCCAAGTCGAAGAATCGGCGCTCGACATTGCGACGCTCACGGCGGAACGAGACTCCGCGCGTCAGCAATCCACGGTGAATACTCCAGCGCCACCACACGCACCAACAAATGCATCTGCACAATCGGACGAACCAATCGTCATTTCGTCCGGCACACCAACACAACACGACAGCGTGGGACAGCGCTCAGGTGTAGCCAGTGATGGCGCCGCCCAACCGATGCCTGGCATGGGGGGAAACAGGGTCGCACCAAGCCCGCAAGAGACTCGTGAAGCCCGTCGGCACGTGGAGTTCGCGACGACAAGTGGCGAACATGCCATCATGGCACCAATGCTACTCAAGCCGCAACGCCCGCCCTGCTTCGACCCGAGCCAGCGTGGAGGTTCGACGGTTCAATCGTGGGTCTTCACAATGAACGTCTTCTTCGACGCGAATTACGTCGAGTCAGACGTAACGAAGATCCGATATGCCGTCTCGCTGCTGAGGGGCCCCGCCATGGACTGGTGACGAGTCATGTGACGTTGCCACGCGCCTACGAGCCACCGTCGCAAGAGGAAGGGCCCACATGTCCAACTGTCACTTGGAGTTCATTCTGCGAAACCGCCCAATATATCACGTGGGATGCGTGGTGTGCAGGGCTTCGGGCACGCTTCGAGCCAATCGCGGCTTCTATTTCGGCGCGTCAGAGACTGCGTACTTGGCGGCAGCTCGGGTCGGTTCAAGACTATACGAGTGGTTTTCTCGCATTATGCGAGCAGGTCGGCTACATGCACGAAGCGGAGCGGGTGGACCGTTACGTCGAAGGGCTGAAGCCGGACATCTCGCACGAGATCATGCTACGCGGGCTCTCGAAATTCAACGAGATCCTCGCGCTCGCCGAGAAAATCGACATTTTGCGCCGTCCAAGACCAGGGTCCTACTACGGACATCGTCCTCGGGGACCGATCAGGCATGCCACCGTACATGTCGTTGCGACGAATGCAGCTGCCGCGCCGTTTAAGTGGTGCTGCTTTGCTTGTAATAGGCCGGGCCATCGCAAGAGTGAATGCCCAGAGGAGCTGAGGCGCCGCGGAGTAGAGCAAGGGAGGGAGTCTCCAAGGCAGGGAAACGCCAGCAGTCAGTAGGAATCGGGCCAACTACTGACGAGACTGCCTGCTCGCCCAACCCCACCGACCCTCACCGAGTCACAGTACCGATTCATGCTATCGATCGGGCTCGGACAAATAAGGAGGGTACAGCGACGGACTGCTTAGTACTTATCCACGGGAAAATACAAGGAGCAGCAGTGAAGATTTTTATCAACGGAGCAGCAAGTCACTGTTTAGTTAATACTGCAATCGCACGCAGACTGCAACTAACACTTAGCCGTTGTTTACCTGAGATAGATGCACACTTAGTTCACGGCATGCCACTGGCCATACGGGAAAAGGTGGAGAGAGTCAAAGTCCGCTGCGGGGGAAAATTCGGATTTACACAGGAAATGCTCGCGACGACACTCGATGGGCACGACATTTTACTGGGACGTGTTTGGCTGCGACGGTATAACGCGCAAATCAACTGGACGACGGGTAGCTGCACTGTGCGAAGTAGCGGTAACTGGGTTGAGCTACCTCGCTGGCAGTCGCCCGAGTCTTCAACGGTACACGTCAACGCCGTCACCATGAAACGGGCTGTCGCTGCTGGAGCTGACGTGTAAGCAGTAGACATTTCAGTGGTAGAAGGAGCAGAGCAGCCGAGTGATTTCAAGAAATTGCTGGCAGCAGTACCGCCAGAACTACTGGAACTGTTGAAACGATACCCCGGGATTTTTCCCGACGACTTACCGGAAGGACTGCCACCTTAGCGAGCACATGACCACCAAATAAAATTAGAACCGGGGGCACAATCAACTGTACAGCGACAGTTTAGACTGACACAACCCGAGCTCGACGAACTGAGGAAGCAGTTAGATTACTTATTAGCGAAAATTTCATCCGGCCGAGCTCGTCACCGTTCGCCGCACCGATACTGTTCACGCCAAAAAAAGACGGAGGGTTTCGCATGTGCATCGTGTCAAACTCATATGCTATAGTCTGTGTAGGCTGTAGTGGGGTAGACAATATGGGGTACAACACTTTTAGGTTTTCCTACTTGTACCCACCTGCTTGCTAGTTCATTCATTCCTCATTTCTTCACATAGTGTAGAGCAGGTTCCCTAGTGGGAATGCTTCCTAGGGCCCACCTCTGAAAATCGATTTTTTTTTCCTGACCGGAGCGCGAGTCGCCCCTGCCCGAGGCGCGCCCCGTGGGCCGCCCTCTCGTCGCGTCCCCTGCCCTTAGCGGCCTGTCGCGCCCTTCTAGAGGCCCCTCTCACGGCCCCTCGCGCCACCCCTAGCGCCCCCGTCGCCGCCCTTCGCGGCCCGTCGCCGCCCCTCGCGGCCCCGTCGCCACCCCTAGCGGCCCCGTCGCCACCCTTCGCGGCCTCGTCGCCGCCCCTTGCGACCCCGTCGCCGCCCCTCGTGGCTCCGTCTCCGCCCCTCTCGGCCCCGTCGCCGCCCGTTACGGCACCGTCGCCGCCCGTTACGGCACCGTCGCCGCCCCTAGTCGCCCCGTTGCCGCCCTTCGCGGCCCCGTCGCCGCCCCTAGCGGCCCCGACGCCGCCCTTCGCGGCCCCGTCGCCGCCCCTATCGGCCCCGTCGCCGCCCTTCGCGGCCCCGTCGCCGCCCTTCGCGGCCCCGTTGCCGTCCCTAGCGGCCCCGTCGCCGCCCTTCTTGGACCCTCGCGGCCCCTTCGCGGCCCCGTTGCCGCTCCTAGCGGCCCCGTCGCCGCCCCTAGCGGCCCCGTCGCCACCCCTCGAGGCCCCTCGCGGCCCCTTCTCAGCTCCTCCGCCACCAGCAGCAGCCGCCGCCAGCAACAGCCGCCGCCGGCCTCCAGCAGCAGCCGACAGCAGCAGACGCCGCCGACAGCAGCGGCGGCCACCACCAACAGCAGCCGTCGCCGCCGACAGCCGCGACTGCCGCCACCACTGCCAGCAGGAGCTACCGCTGCAGTCACGGCTCTGTCCCTGCCGACGCGCCTCGGCCCTGCACCACCGCTTGCCGGCCCCTACCTACCAGCCCTGGTGAGAGCACTGCCGAGCCACGCCTGCTACTGCTGCCCCTAGCCTGTTGCTACTGCTGTCATGGCTACCCCTAGCATTCTAGTCTTTGATGCTGAGGGTCGAGCTGTTGAGTTTGAGGTCTGGGTTGATGATCTACACCTTTTCCTACATTGCGATAGGAAGGACGGTCTCTCACTGTTCGATCTCACGTCTGGCGCCTCTACTGCCCCTGCTGCCGATGCTGACAGCACTGTTCGCTCACAGTGGGCCACACGCGATGCTGCTGCCCGTCTTGCTATGCGTAGTCACTTACCGTCCACTGAGCGCGCGCACTTTAGTCAGTACAAGAGTGCTAAGACCTTGTACGATGCTGTAGTTGCACGCTACTCTTCCCCTGCCACTGCTGCCCTTAGCCGCCTCATGCTGCCGTACCTGTTTCCTGACCTCGCCACCTTTCCCACAGTCGTTGACCTCATTACGCACCTTCGCACTAGTGACACCCGCTACCGCGCTGCACTTCCTGCTGAGTTTTGCGCCAAGAACCCCCCCCCCCCCATGTACATCACCATCTACTACATAATCACCCGGCTCCCTGACTCCCTTCGCTCGGTCAGGGACCACTTCCTCTCTGTTTGCCCAACCACACTCACCGTTGACCTCCTTGAGGAGCGCCTCCTGGCATCTGAGAAGAGTATAGTCGCTGTAGGAGCCTCTCGTGGTGACCCTCGTGCCCCCTTCTTTGAGGGGTGCTCCCCCTCCCCCCTTTTGCCCTCTGTTGCCTCTGTTGCTGCAGTCGACTTCGTTGGCACCGAGTCGGTCGGCGCTGCGTCTGCCCTAGCGAGAGACGCCGCACCGGCAAGGGCAAGGGGGGCAAGGGCGCTGGAGGGGCTGGCGGGGGCGGTGGAGGTGGCGGTGGAGGCGGCGGAGGGAGTGGGGGTGGCGGTGGGAGTGGTGGCGGGGGTCGGGGCTTCGGTGGCGGCGGAGGCGGAGGCGACGGCGGCGGTGGCGGTGGGAGCGGAGGAGGAGGCGGTGGCGGCGGTGGCGGAGGTGGCGGCGGCGGAGGTGGAGCTGGTTGTGGTGGCTCTGCGCAGCGGGGCGGCTTCGGTAATGGTCAGCACCAGCAGCAGTAGCGCACTCGTGAGACTCCGCCCCACCAGCAGCTTCGTGAGTGGTACGCTGCGCGTCAGCGGGGTGGGGGTGCTGGTCCTTGTGCCTACGTCCTACGTACCAGCAACCGCACTAGTGAGCCGTGCGGTGGCCCGCACACCACCCAGCGCTGCTTCGGCCGCCTGACGGACGCTTGGCGTCTCCAGTTCTCTGACGCCACTGAGATCCCCCGCTGGGGCGAGCTGCTTAGGTCGGGGGTTGCTATCTTTGATCTAGAATATGATGCCATTTTTGCTGCCATATATGTTGTGTCTACTAGTGATGAGGGTGACTGTTACCTGTGTGTTGCGCCTGACCCGTGCATTGAGGCTGCTGCTCTAGGTGTTGGTGAGGCTACTGCTCTAGGTGCTAGTGCGTCTGCTGCCCCAGGTGCTGGTGAGTGTGCTCTCTCAGGTACCACATCGGCTCAGGCCTTGCACACCTTCACTTTGACTCGGGTGCTTCCCGCTCCTTCTTTCGAGAACGCACCACGCTTACGCCGCTTAGTCGGCCAGTTGCGGTCTCCCTGGCGGACCACTCTGGGGGTCCTGTCCTTGCCCACTTCTCCACTGTCTTACCGTGTCCGGCGGCCCCCTCTGGCACCCTGTCAGGTCTCTACCTCCCCTCGTTCTCTACGAACTTGGTGAGTGGTGCTGATCAACAGGATGGGGGGGTTGACCAGTTCACTCTTACGAGTCAGCGGGTGACCCACTGTACGTGTGCTCGGACGGGCCGACACTTGGCCACGTTTACCCGTCAGCCAGGGTCGAGCATGTACACTCTGACTACTGAGTCTCATCCGGTTGCTGAGTCTGGTCAGGTAGCTGCGTCGGGTCAAGTGTTTGCTGCAGCGTCCAGGTCTGGTCCTGAGTCTGCTCCTTGCTCGTGTCGTCTCCTGTCCCACCGGACTCTCCTCTGGCACCACCGCCTTGGTCACCCCTCCCTGCCTCGTCTCCGAGGCATGGCCTCCCGTGTCCTTGTCTCTGGTCTCCCCCGGTCCCTCCCTCCCCTCCCTCCGAGGCCTACCCCTACCTGCGTTCCCTGCGTCGAGGGGCGTCAGCGCACCGCCCCTCACTCCTCCGAGTTTCCTCCGACAGAGGCTCTGATGCAGACTCTTCACATGGACGTATGGGGCCCCGCCCGCGTCCGTGGCTAGGGTCACGAGCGTTACTTCCTGTTGGTGGTTGAGGACTACTCGCGTTACACCACGGTGTTCCGCTTGCGCAGCAAGGGTGACGTCACTGAGGTGTTGATCGACTGGATCCGCGCAGCTTGTCTCCAGCTCAGAGAGAGTTTCGGCTCGGACTTTCCTATTCTGAGTCGGCACTCTGACAGAGGCGGGGAGTTTTCCTCTGCCCTTCTGGGAGCCTTCTGTCGTGCACAGGGTTTCCGCCAGACCTTCACGCTTCCGGCCTCTCCACAGCGAAATGGGATTGCTGAGCGCTGCATTGGCATGGTCATGGACGTCGCTCGTACGTCTATGATCCATGCGGCTGCCCCCCCATTTTCTGTGGCCGTTTGCGGTTCAGTACGCAGCGCATCAGATCAACCTTCAGCCCCGCGTCTCCTTGCCAGAGACCTCCCCCACCTTGCGGTGGACGGGGAAGGTTGGCGATGCGTCTGCGTTTCGTGTCTGGGGATCTCGCGCGTTTGTCCGCGACTTGTCTGCGAGAATGAGAACGAGAATGAAATGACTATGAATGAAGTGAGTACATATAGAAAACCCTAATTGGGTTGTACCCCCTATGGGATACCCCACTATAGCCTACACAAATAAGTAAGCTATAATGTTCTGACACACCCCCATAGGCAAAGTGGGGGAGAACAAGGGGTCACAAGACCAGTCAAGCAAAGCAAGGCAAAGCTCAGGGTGGATCACAAAGTCACCACACATTCCGAGCACAAGTTCAAAGGCCAAAAGGCTAGTTCACATGCAAGATCATATATATAGAGAGACAAGAGTCTAAGCAAGCAAGAGCAAGAGTATATATATGTGAAAGTACAAGCAAGGTCAAGAAGTGAGCAAGTGAGGCATGACAGGCACAAGACCCAGCTGCGTGCAGAAGCGCTGATGATCACAAGGCGCAAGTGCCTTGCTGAAGACATCAGCAGTGTTGGCCTCAGAGGCCACGTACGCAAGCCGCAACTGTCCACGCTGCTGTAGCTCACGAGCAAGAAAGTAGCGGAGAGCAATGTGCTTTGTCCTGTGCTCCAGTAGCTGCTCTCGACACAAGGCCAACATGGCCTTGTTGTCAACGTACAGGAATTGAGGAGAACGAGGCGGCTCTCCAAGGTCGGTCAGGAGGTAGGTGAGCCAGCGAAGCTCCTGGGCAGCCATAGCCCCGGCGTAGATCTCAGCCTCACAACTGGAGCCGAGAAGAGAAGACGAGCAGGTAGCCCGCCACGAAACAGAGCCAGAACCAAGACTGAAGGTGTAACCCTGTGACGACCGCTGCGTAGCCTGGTCGTCAGCCCAAGAAGCATCCGCGTGCCCAGTGAGGACCACTGGACTCCGCCCTCCAAGCACTAGCCCCATGCCCGACGTACTGCACAAGTAGTGCAACACCCTCTTCATTGCAGCCATGTGCTCTGGTCAGTGTCTCCCAGGAGCAACATAGCGTGCGAGAATGCTAAGAGGGTATGCAAGGTCAGGTCGTGTGCAGGTCATTAGGTACATGAGGCAGCCAACAAGCTCTGGATACGGGCCACTCGACTCTACGGACTCATCCGAAGGCAGAGCTGAGAGCGAGTGGCGAGTAGGCAGAGGAGTGGCCTGAGGCGAGGAGTACGTGAAGCCGAAGCGCTGAAGGACCTGCTGCACCATGTGTGACTGAGTCAGGGTGATGGTGCGGCGTGCTCTGTCCCGGGTGATCTGCAAGCCAAGGTAGCTGCGCAGTTCAACCAGGTCACTGCACGTGTGTCTCTTCAGCAGCTCGGACTTCACGTAGGCGAGTCCAGCAGCGTCACCTGTGGCAAAGACCAAGTCCTCGACGTACACGAGGATGTAGAACGGCGGTAGAGAGGTGTCGGTGCGCAGAAACAGCGACGGGTCTGCAGTAGAAGGAGCAAACCAAAGCACCGCCAGCGTAGTCCTCAGTGTGTCGTGCCACTCACGCGGCGCCTGGCGGAGACCGTAGACTGGACGCCGGAGGCTCCACTGGGTACCAGGAGGGAAGGACCCAGTAAAGCCAGGTGGGCGGCGCAGCCAGATCTCCTCATGCAGGCTGCCCTGCAAGAAAGCAGTGCTGAAGTCGAGAGAGTGTAGCTCGTAGTCACGGTGAGCAGCAACGTGCAGCAGTACCCGAAGAGTGGTCATCTTCGGGGTGGGGGAGAAGGTCTGAAAGTAGTCAACTCCCTGCCGCTGACTGAAGCCACGAGCCACGTAACGCGCCTTGAAGACAGGCGGAGAACCCGGCGGCCGCTTCACCCTGAAGATCCACATGCCACTGACGATGTTCGCCCCAGGAGGGGGGACAGCGTCAACGTAGGTGCCTGTGGACTTCCAGGAAGCCATCTCTGCATCCATAGCTCCTGCCACTGAGAGGAGTAGGGACCCTCTATCGCCTCTGCGTAAGAGCGCGAAGTCGGGATGTCAAGTGCATCCAGGTCTCCCTCAGGGGTAAGTAGTACGGACACGAGATGAGGTGAAGCAGCTGCCAGACACTGGAACTCCTCCTGCCTGTCCTCAAGGACGTCCGTGCCAAGGGCACACTCACCCCCGACGGACGGAGGACAGACAGACGCAGACTCAACGCCAAGACTAGCAGCGTAGTCTAGGCGAAAGCGAGCAGCAAAGTCGACGAGCTCAGTAACGAGGGCAGACGCAGCAGTAGACTCGAAAGAAGGGTCAGTGACGACAGTAGCAAGGAGACGCGTGACAGTAGGACTGGCAGCACGAAGAGAGTCCGACTCCGGGTCGGCAAGTGCAGGAAGAGAGGACTCAAGAGGAGAAGGCAAAGGGGCACGCAGAGGAGCAGTAGACGGACGCAGAGACATCCGGTGCGTGCCAGGGACAGGAGGAGGACGCTGACGCGAACCGCGACCACTAGTGCGCGCAGCACGAACAGGCGACGCAGGACGAGACGCAAGCTCACGACGCTCAGTAAGACCTCCAGTCGGACCAGCGTAGGGAGAAGGAGCAGGCAAAGGGGAGGCAGGCTGTAGCTGTGACTGTGACTGGAGAGGCTCTGGACCCTCTAAGGGAGGAGGAGGAGGACCAGGAGAAGGTGTAAGACCAAGAACCTGCTGAAGGAGTGGAACGAAGTACGGTCGGGGCCGCGCGGCGACCCCAGAAACAGCAGGGACAGCACCAGTACCCCCAGCAGGAGTACCCGCGCCAGCAGCACCTCCAGCAGCTCCAGAATCCCCAGCAGCACCTCCAGTAGCCCCAGAACCTCTTGCAGCACCAGGAGCACCGCCAGCCGGACTGCCAGTGGTAGTCTCAGCTCCAACACCCTCAGCAGCACCAGCTCCAGTCGAACCCGCAGGCCCAGCAGCTCCAGTACTCCCAGTACGAGCACCTCCGGGACCCGCGACAGCAGCACCCTCAGCAGCCGAAGAACCTCCAGCACCAGCAGCACGCCTCCAGCGCCGGGCAAACCACTCACGCAGCTCCTGTGGGGAGAGTGGCTCCCGGCGAGACGAAGAACCCGGAGAACCTCCACGCGAAGAACCTCCAGGCTCAGCACCCCCAGGCAAAGCACATCCAGGCGTAGCACCTCCAGACTCAGCACCCCAAGGCTCAGCACCCCCTGGCTCAGCACCCCCAGGCTCCGCACCCCCAGGCCCAGCACCCCCAGGCTCAACACCCCTAGGCTCAGCACCCCCAGGCTCAGCACCCCTAGGCTCAGCACCCCCAGTCTCAGCACCCCTAGGCTAAGCAACCGCAGCAGCACCAGAGTCACCAGTGACCTCGACAGGCTCGACCGTGTCTACCTGGGACACACCTGAAGGGGCAGGACCCTGAGGGGGGAGGGGGTCTACCGGGGGGGGACCTGGTACCAAGAAGAGCGGGGGCGGGGGGAGGGACGGAGTGCGGTAGGGGAAGAGGCGGTAGTAGGGTACTGACTCGTCGAACGTGACGTCTTGGGAGGACAAAACACGGCGAGAGGTGGGGTGGTAGAAATGCCACCCAAGGGCAGCGGGGGGGAACCCCAGGAAGACGCAGGGAGCAGCGCGAGGGGACAGCTTGTCCGCAGACAAGTCGCGGACAAACGCCCGAGATCCCCAGACCCGGAACGCCGACGCATCGCCAACCTTCCCCGTCCACAGCAGGGATGGGGAGGTCTCCGGCCTGGAGACCCTGGGGTGGAGGTTGATCTGATGCGCCGCATACCTGACCGCAAACGGCCACAGAAAATGGGGGGCAGCCGCATGCATCATAGACGTACAAGCGACGTCCATGACCATGCCAATGCGGCGCTCTGCAATGCAATTTTGTGCGGTGAGTCCGAAAGCGTGAAGGTCTGACGGATGCCTCGCGCACGACAGTAGGCACGCAGAAGGCCAGAGGAGAACTCTCCGCCTCTGTCCGAGTGCAGACGCAGCATAGGAAAGTCCGAGCCAAAGCTCTGCCTGAGCTGGAGACGAGCTGCGCGGATCCAGTCGATCAGCACCTCAGTGACATCACCCTTGTTGCGCAAGGGGAAGACTGTGGTGTAACGCGAGTAGTCGTCAACCACCAACAGGAAGTAGCGCTCGTGACCTAGTCCACGGACGCGGGCAGGGCCCCACATGTCCATGTGAAGCGTCTGCAACGGAGCCTCTGTCGGAGGGAACTGGGAGGAGTGAGGGGCAGCACGCTGGCGCCCCTCGACAAAGGGGACACAGGTAGGGCCAGGGCCCTGAGGAAGGGGAGGTAGGGACCGGGGGAGACCAGACACAAGAAGACGGGAGGCCATGCCTCTGAGCCGAAGCAGAGAGGGGTGACCAAGGCGGTGGTGCCAGAGGAGAGTCTCGTGAGACAGACGGCGACACGAACAGGGGGCAGACTCCGGACCAGACCTGGACGCTGCAGCAAACACCTGACCAGACGCAGGGACCCTACCAGACTCAGCAACTGGAGGAGAAGCAGTGGTCAGTGTGTACAGGCTCGACCCTGGCTGACGTGTAAACGTAGCCAGGTGGCGACCTGTGCTAGCCTCTGTGCAGTGCGTCACCCGCTGACGAGCAGGGGTGAACTGGTGGACTCCCGCATCTTGTAGGTCAGCACCACTCACTAAGTTCGTAGAGAACGAGGGGAGGTAGAGACCAGACAGGGTGCCAGAGGGAGCCGCCGGACACGGGAGGACAGTGGAGAAGCGAGACAGGATAGGACCCCCTGAGGGGTCAGCCAGGGAGACCGCAACCGGCCGACTAAGCGGCGTGAGTGTGGTGCGATCCCGAAAGAAGGAGCGAGACGCCCCAGAGTCAAGGGTGAAGGTGTGGGAGGCCGAAGCCGACGCAGTACCTGAGAGCGCAGACTCACCAGTACCTGGGGACGCAGACACACTAGCACCCAGAGCAGCAGCGTCGCAAGCACCTAGGGCAGCAGCCGCACCAGTACCTAGAGCAGCAGTCTCAATGCCCGGGTCGGGCGGAAAACACCGGTAACAGTCACCCTCGTCACTAATAGTCACAGCATCCATGGCAGCAAGGATAGCATCAAAGTCAAGATCAAAGATAGCTACACCAGCCCTAGACAGCTCTCCCCAGCGGGGGATCTCTGTGGCCTCCGGAAACTGGTGACGCCAAGCGTCCGTCAGGCGGCCAAAACAGCGCTGGGTGGTGTGGGCACCCCCACACTGCTCACCCGCGCGGTCGCCGGTGCGAAGAACGTAGGTGCAGGGACCAAGACCCCCACCACGCTGACGCTTCGTGTACCACTCACGGAGCTGCTGAGGGGTGGGGACGTCGCGAGAACGCCGCTGCTGCTACTGCTGCTGCTGCTGCTGGCGCTGACCACCCCCAGTGCCGCTCCGCTGTGAAGTGCCACTCCGACCACCTCCACCACCTCCTCCTCCACCGCCTTCACCTCCGCCACCACCGCCACCCCCACCAGTACCGCCGCCGCCGACGCCGCCTCCGCCACCACTGCTGCCACTAGCACCCCCACCCCCGCCACCTCCTCCACCGCCACCTCCACTCCCTCCGCCGCCTCCACCTCCACGGCCACCGCCCCCGCTAGTCCCACCCGCTCCCTTGCCCCCCTTGCCCTTGCCAGGGCGACGTCTCCCGCTAGGGGCAGACGCCGCACCGACCGACTCAAGACCAACGAGGTCGGCCGCAGCGGCAGAGGCGACAGAGGGCAAGAGAGGGGAAGTAGAACACCCCTCAAAGATGGCGGCGCGGGGGTCACCTCGAGAGGCTCCTACAGCGACGATGCTCTTCTCCGCCGCTAAGAGGGCCTTCTCTAGGCTGTCGACTGTGAGAGTGGTGGGACAGACCGCAAGGAAGTGGTCCCGGACTACACGAAGGGAGTCGGGGAGGCGGGTGACTAGAAAGTAGAGAGTGATGTACATGGGGGGGGGTTTCTTGGCGCAGAAGTTAGCAGGAAGCGCAGCGCGGTAGCAGGTGTCACTAGTGCGGAGGTGCGTAACGAGATCAGCGACTGTGGGAAAGGTGGCAAGGTCAGGGAAGAGGAAGGGTAGCATGAGGCGGCTCAGTGCAGCAGTGGCAGGGGAGGAGTAGCGCGCAACGACGGCGTCGTACAAGGTCTGAGCACTCTTGTACTGACTAAAGTGCGCACGCTCAGAGGTAGGGAGGTGGCGACGCACAGCAAGACGTGCAGCAGCATCGCGCGTAGCCCACTGGGAGCGAACAGTAGGGTCAGCATCAGCAGCAGGGGCAGGGGAAGCGCCAGAGGTAAGGTCAAAGAGAGAGAGGCCGTCTGCCCTATCGCACTGTAAGAACAGCTGGAGGTCATCTACCTAGACCTCAAAGTCAATGGCCCGACCCTCAGCGACAAAAGCGAGGACACTGGGGGCAGCCATGACGACAGACGCCTAGCAGTGCAAGCAGTAGGGAGAGGGCAGTGCAGTGAAAAAGAAGGCTCTGTGCTCACCAGACTTGGCAGAACAGGCGGTCTGAAGGTAGGGCAGCTCAGCGGCCGGCGGCTCGGCTACTGGGCGACTCGGCTGCTCGGCGGCCCGGCTGCTGGGCGGCTCGGCGGCTCGGTTGCTCGGCTGCTGGGCGGCTCGGCGGCTCGGCTGCTGGGCGGCTCGGCTGCTGGGCGGCTCGGCGGCTCAGCTGCTGGGCTGCTGGGCGGCTCGGCTGCTGGGCGGCTCGGCTGCTGGGCGGCTCGGCTGCTGGGCGGCTCGGCTGCTGGGCGGCTCGACGGCTCGGCTGCTGGGCGGCTTGGCGGCTTAGCAGCTGGGCGACCCGGCGGTCGGGCGGCTCTGGTTCAGGGCGGCGCGGCGGTCGTAGGTAGGGCGGCGGGTGGGCCGCAGGTAGGGCAGCTGGAGGGCCGCTGAGTAGGGCGGCGGGGCCGTGACGTAGTACGGCGGGGCCGTCGAGAAGGGCAGCGGGGCCGCAACGTAGGGCGGCGGGGCCGTCGAAGTAGGGCGGCAGGGGGCCGCGACGTAGGGCGGCGGGGCCGTCGAAGGTTAGGGCGGCGGGGCCGCGACGTAGGGTAGGGCGGCAGGGCCGCGACGTAGGGTAGGGCGGCAGGGCCGCGACGTAGGGTAGGGCGGCAGGGCCGCGACGTAGGGTAGGGCGGCAGAGCCGCGACGTAGGGCGGCGGGGCCGTCGAAGTAGGGCGGCGGGGCCGCAACGTAGGGTGGCGGGGCCGATGACGTAGGGCGGCGGGGCCGCGACGTGGGGCGGCGGGGCCGTCGAAGGGTAGGGCGGCGGGGCCGCGACGTAGGGCGGCGGGGCCGTCGAAGGGTAGGGCGGCGGGGCCGCGACGTAGGGCGGCGAGGTCGCAGGAGTAGGGCGGCGGGGCGGCGACCGAAAAGGCGGCGCGACGGGCCGCTAGGGGGGGGGGGGGGGGGGGGGGCGACACGACGGGTCGCTAAAAAAAAAGGAAAGCGCGCCTCGGGGCGCGCTTCAGTGGGCCCAAGAAACAGTCCCTAGGAGGGGACCTGCTCTGATTCCATGTGAGAATGAGAACGAGAATAAAATGGCTATGAATGAAGTGAGTACATATAGAAAACCCTAATTGGGTTGTACCCCCTATGGGATACCCCACTATAGCCTACATAAATAAAAAAGCTATAATGTTCTGACAAAGCTGTCCCCCCGTGCTGTTCCCTGCGTCTTCCTTGGCTTCCCCCCTGACGCGCCTGGTTGGCAGTTTTACCACCCCACCTCGCGCCGTGTTCTGTCCTCCCAGGACGTCATCTTTGACGAGTCGCTGCCTTACTACCAAGTCTTCCCCTACCGCACTGCGCCCCTCCCCCCGCCGCCGCTCTTCCTTGCGCCAGTTCCCCCCCCGGTAGACCCTCTCCCCCCTCAGGGTCCTGCCCCGTCAGGTGTGTCCCAGGTAGACCTAGTCGAGCCTGTCGAGATAGCTGTTGACTCTGGTGCTGCTAGGGGTGCTGAGCCTTGGGGTCCTGAGTCTAGGGGTGCTGAGTCTGGGGGTGCTGAGCCTGGGGGTGCTGAGTCTGGGGGTGCGGAGCCTGGGGGTGCGAAGCCTGGGGGTACGGAGCCTGGGGGTGATGAGCCTGGGGGTGCGGAACCTGGGGGTGCTGGGTCTGCTCGTGTGGCCTCAGGCGGTACTGGGTTTGGGGACCCTTCGGGTGCTTCATCGAGGCGGGAGCTACCCTCTCCACAGGAGCTGCGCGAGTGGTTTGCCCGGCGCTGGAGCCGTGCTGCTGGAGCTGGAGGTACTACTGTTGCTGCTGACCCTGGGGTCGGCACTGGAGTTACTAGAGCCACTGGTCCTGGAGGTGCTCGTACTGGCGGTACTTGAGCTGCTAGGACTGGGGGTGCTGCTGGTGCTGCTGGAGGTACTGGAGGTACCGAAGCTACTGGGCCTGGAGGTACTCCTGGTGCTGGCGCTGCTGGCGGTGCTGGAGCGGGCGGTCCTGCTGAAGTTGGTGCTACTAGAGCTGCTTGAGCTGGAGCTGCTGGAGCTGCTCGAGCTGGAGCTGCAGGGGGTGCTGGCGCTGGAGGTGCTGCTGGCGCTGGTGCGTCTGAGGGTGCTGGATTCGGCGCTGTTGGAGCTGGAGGTGCTGCTGGCACTGGTACTGCCGCTGGGGGTGCTGGTGCTGTCCCTGCTGGTTCTGGAGGCGCTGCGCAGCCGCGGCCGTACTTCGTTCCGCTCCTTGAGCAGGTTCTTGGTCTCCCGCCCTCTACAGGTCCTGCTCCTCCCTTAGAGTGTCCACAGCCTGTCCAGTCGCAGTCACAGTTACAGCCCGCCTCCCCCCTGCCTGCTTCTTCTCCCTAAACTGGTCCTACTGGAGGTCTTGTTGAGCGTCGTGAGCCTGCGTCTCGTCCTGCGTCGCTTGTTCGTGCTGCTCGCACTAGTCGTCGTGCTCCGCGCCCGCGTCCTCCTGCGGTCCGAGGCACACACCAGATGGCACTGCGTCCTTCCACTGTTCCTCTTTGTGTCCCGTTGTTGTCTCCTCCAGAGTCCTCTCTTCCTATTCTTGCTGACCTGGAGTCTGACTCTCTTCGTGCTGCCAGTCCTACGGTCACGCGTCTTCTCGCTACTGTTGTCACTGACCCTTCCTTTGAGTCCACTGCTGCGTCTGCCTTAGTTGCTGAGCTTGTCGACTTTGCTGCGTGCTGTCGTCTAGACTACGCCGCTAGTCTTGTTGCTGAGTCTAAGTGTGTCTGTCCTCCGTCCGTCGGGGGTGAGTGTGCTCTTAGCACGGACGTCCTTGAGGACACGCAGGAAGAGTTCCAGTGATTTGCTGCTGCTTTTGTGAAGATAGGTAGTTAGGTGAAGAAGCCATAGCTAGGACCAACCTAGCTAGGC